TCCAAGCCATTTCTTGAACGCTGCTTTCTTCTCTTTAACTGCCAGTTGTACCTCTCGTGTCCACCACGAAAATCTTTGCTGACCTCCAGGCGGCAGGCCAACCCGTTTATATCCGTTTATCTACTCCGTCGTAAAAAGGAAAAACTGCCGGTAACACTTAACGTTGACTGAAAATATACACGCCTTGGAAAGAGTTGGTTTGGTTGCCCTCCATCCTCAGTTCAGTAAAAAAAATTATCTTGTTATCTTATACGAGCATCCATCAAACTTCTTTCGAGTTTTGGTTTATTCAGCAGCGCAAAAATTTGCGGATTAAGACCGCGTCGTTATTGTTGTAAGACATTCTTCATCGACCATGCGATATAACCTGGATGTTTTACAGGGATCTCTACATTCCACTGCTTTTCTTCAGCATATGTACGGGCTCTCGTCTGTGCGCACATCGATTATGTGGAGACGTTCTTGGTAATATCAGTTCAACAAAGCTACCACATATCAAAGGCAAAATACCGCTTTGCAAAATAACTATAGGCACATTGCGTAACATAATTTACGTCAAGTAAATGTATTTGCATTGCCAGTAATACGACTTTAGTTGGCAGTCGGGGTGATCCGTCACCCATGGTCAAGAAAGAGACAGTCCCAAGGGTACATTTACATCCCATCAAATGTCTGGGTGCCTATCTAAACGAACATTTAGTGTTCTAAATTAGCCTCTTCGTGGTAACCCGGATACTTAAGGGAACACACTATATGTTCAGACCACTGATATTCTCAGTAAAGCTTTAGAACGAGATGATTTGCTTGTGGTAATCTATCCCAAGCTGGCAATTCTCGCCGATTCAGAAGGACCATCAACATTAGGCAAATTACCCTGCTCATTCGCTATATGATTAAAATCGACTCATCCCAAACTATTGAACAGATTGCTACCTACCTTGCCCCTAGCTGATGTGTTCCAGAAACTATTGCTACTTACAGAACATGAAAAAACAGGTTTGTAGGTCTATATCTTCCATAAACCCACACTACACAGCGTACTATACTCCCTGCTGATTATGCATGAAAGATATTGCTACTTGAAAAGTCACGAACCGGATAGTTAAATAATTCAAAAACGCAAACAGTCTTACTCAGTTTAACTTGTATGCTTGACCACTGTTCCAGGCGGCCCTCTGCGAAACTTTCATTAGCAAACTTAACGGTAATCATCAAATACTGTCTTGACCTAGATTTTACCAATATCCGAAACCGACGCAAAAAGCAAAACCTAAAACGGTGACCATGAAATGGACGCTGAACGCCAACGTTAACAACACCTTTTACTAATCAGAATCACTGTCGCTTGACAATGATATGTCACCGGCTAATCCGAAATAGTCTTTCGATAGCGCGCTGTTCCGTGGTAAAGGGCTATGCGTTGCAGGATTAGCAATATCAACGGCAGCTTCCGACTGACTCCTCGAGCTATGGGATCGCTCGTTGGTCTTCGGCTCAGCAACGCATTGGGCAAGTTTCTGCTGCCTTTCCCTTTTGACCAATTCTGTGGAAAGCTGTTCGATCATTTGCCTCTTTTCCAACCTCTTCGACAATTTCATTTTTATGCCGGACTTGACGCGAAGCCGTTGTTTCTGCCGGTATGAAAGGGGAAGCATTCGCTTCAGAGGGATGTCGTTGATCGGCTTACAGTCATCAACGATTTCGCCCTCTTCTAGTTCATCTAGTTTCGGTTGCGAAGACTGCATCCATTTCCGCCAAATGTCATGCATCACCGAGAACACCTCCTCCACACTTCGTTCTTGCGGTGATCGTTCCCAAATTCGCGACTGCAAAACTTGAAGCTTTCCTGAAATATTAGCATAAGTAATAAAAAATATCCAACTTTTTCTGACCTTCTTCAGTCAACAAAGGAAACCGCGCCAGATCTTTCGTCAGGATGACGTAAATGGTAGGAAACTCAACAATAATCTTGTTTTTGAGATTTTCATCCAAAGAAAGAGCGGTGTTTAAAAGATGGTACCTAAATCAGAATTTAACGTTAATGAGCAGTTTACACAAGTTCTAAAAAAAACAAAGACAATATGCAGATGAAACAGATATAAATTTTTATTATCATAAGAACGAATGCTGACGGTTTGACTAACAATATTTACATAACGATATAATAACGATTCAAATTAACATCATTAAAATTATGAAAGTGAGAGATAGCCAGAATTCGACTGAAAAATGTTCTAGATACAGCGTTATTTGTAGTATGAACTTTTCACGAAGAAAAACTGTGGTAGAAATCGCATTTATAAAGCCATCAGCGACGAATGTCTTATATTTCTGAAAGCAGTGTTGACAATTTGATGACCACCATGATATATCGTCTCTCGCTTCATTCTCAAGTCGTGAAGTGCATCTGTCTGTAAGGATGTAAAGCGGTCAAACACAAAAGTAGTCAGGAGGACATGAGCAAATGACCTTAAGATCACCAGCCCTTTGACCTACCGATGACTACGCTAACTTTACCGAGAAACAAAAGACATGTAGACTTGTATGAATGGCAGGAAGGTAGCTGAAGTATTTCTGCAACTACCAGACTAGCATTATTATTTATTCTTTCAAGTAAATATCAGAACAAAATATGTTTTATTTTTGAGAAAATGAGAAAATAAGCGCATTGCTACCAGAAAAGATTTTTTAAGTTAGAAATAATATATATTATCAATAACATGCGAAATTTGCAGCATACTCTAGTTTTAACGAAAAGAAACAAAAAACGTTAAACATCAGCACTGGATGATGACCTAATATTAAACCTGTCAGACCGAAAAGTGGATTATGCAACTAACTTACTTACCTGAATTGTTCAAGATTTGCGGAAGAAC